TTGACAATAATGGAATTTTTTTCTAATGGAAACTGACAACTTCTTTAGATCTTTAAAACTCAGGTTCACAGAAAACACATCATTTAAAGTTGAAAGAGGTGACTGAATGGGATGACGAATTGCATCTAGGGGCCAATTGATATTGGTTTTTCTGTCACTGATACCAGTCTGTAGTGGTCATGATCAGCCGATGGCCGATGTGTGCTGCTGATTTTTGGGCCAATTGTCATGGCTGATATCTAGGCGTTTCCATCTTACTTTCATGCTAAAATGTCACTGAAAACATCAGTTGATGCACAGCATTTCTGAAGCTGCTGAATCCGTTTTTGAACACTGAATTTGCCCTGGGGCACAATGACAATGTCAGTCCCTCTACCACCACTACCACCACCAGGCAGGGAGGGTTAAGTGTCTTGCCCAAGAACAGAATAGCAGAATTCTCTGCCGGGAGCCGGTATCGAACCTGCAACCTTCCAATTACTGAACAACCCACTCTACCTCCTGAGCTACTGCTGCCCCGAGTATTGAATCAACTAGGAGGTAATTTTAGTTGAAAATAATTTTAGAGTGTTTGTCATGCAGATGTTATTCAGTAACGTAAATATACATTTAAAATTAATTCTGTGGATGTGCCTGCCCTAAAAAATGGGCTTTTATTAAGTAGGTATATCGGCCGATGCATAAAAAATAGTGAATAATGGCACGATATATCAGCCGAACGATATGTTGATCTACCCCTAGTTGCAAGGCAGCTGTAATCATAGAAGCATGGAGAGAGCCTTAAAGGTGCAATACAGTTTTCTGCCTCTAGATTGTGCCCTATAAGAACAACTCCTGATTGTAATTTTCAAGGTGCAGTGTGTAAGAATATAGTGAGAATTTTATGGTGATGAAATCCCAAAAGCATCCTTTTTTTTAAAATCAGAACTGAAGTTGATCACAAGATTTAGACCCAAAAAGCAGGAAAAAAATATTAATCTGGACCATTTTTAAAGCAGTTTAAAAGTGGAAGTTTTTGTCCTCTAATGGCTTGAGTGTATGGTACATTTTAAATCTGTTGCTATGTAAAAACCATAAATGCAAAAAATTCAAAATTTTAGAAATTTCATAACAATAATCGATACTGATTTGTACTAAACACCCCAGGCAAAAAAATGTCTTTTTTAGAAAATAACTCAGTTTTATTTTTTATTTTTCATAAATTACAGCAATGACTTTGAGTATTCAAACTGGCATTTCAAGGGTTAAAAGCCTCAAAATGATTGAATTTTTTTATGTTTGAGCAGGGCTGAAGTTGTTCAACAGATCTATGAAAAAAAAGCAAAAAAATAATGTATACATTTTTATGGCCACCTTTACAAGCGGACGTTTTTCTCCTCTAATGACTCTTTAGGATGAAATTTAAATTGAAGCCTGAGGGTTAATAATAAACAGTAAGCACGTTTGATGTGTGTTTCAGTTCAGAAAATCCAAATAATAGTTGAAATGATTTTAAGGATTTGCAGAATGATTTCCTTCTAATTACAGAGCATGCCCAGAATATCAGAGCGTTTTTTGATATATGAGAGCACAAACAGGAGTTTTTATAAAGCCAGGATAAAGTCAGCACGTAGATCAAAATTATTATAGACTCCAGCGGTATGAAACACTTCAGATTTCTCCTGACTACTCGTCCAATGTTTGTCTCTTGTCTTCCTCGTCTCTCATCTTTGTCTTTTATTCTGGAGGCATTACATTTCCTTCCTACACAGAGTTGGTTCTACACACACGGACCTTGATGTACACTCACCTTACCACTGCGTTCTGTTTACTTTTGGCCCGTCTATTTTTACTTGAATCCCACTTAAATCATCCCCAGTTGATGCCTCGAGACTCACTGGTGCCCATTTGTCCCCCAAAAACATACAAATGCATAAACAAAATGTGTGTTTGAGCTGACTAAGTAAAAGCAGAGCAGTCTTGGGTTTGTGTTGCCTTTGCCAAAACAAATTTGTTCTGATAAGTGGCAGTTGTGATGTGAAGTAGAACAGATTGTGTGTGTCGTGGCTTGGTTAATGAACTGCTGATCACAGAGTCCTTAGAACAAGTTGTTCTGGTCACATCTATCCTCCTCTTTGTTTCTCGAGTGTCAGACCCACTTTGGATCTCTGCTGATCTTTAAAGGGCCACTAAGTCACACTGTTGTCATGTGGGAACTCATTATTCTTCAGCAGCAGCAGGAGTTCAAGTGTCGGAGCCTCCGTCACACACAGTCAGGGTGGGTCAGATGCTGGGAACAAGTACTTGCTTCTCATGTGGCTTGTGTCGTTTTGGTGTTTTAAATAACATCCAATGTTGAAAACAATAGAATAGAAGCCAAAAGGACAAAATGTAGATTTATCGGGGTTTTCGTTCAACCTTTATCAGTGAAATTAGTTTTCATCTGCTCCTGTTCCCTTGTGTTGTTCTCAACTTTTTCTTTTCTTTCTTTCTTTCTTTCTTTCTTTCTTTCTTTCTTTCTTTCTTTCTTTCTTTCTTTCTTTCTTTCTTTCTTTCTTTCTTTCTTTCTTTCTTTGTGTTGTCATGGAGGTGATGATTTTCCTGTGTCTGGTCAACAGAATATTGATCCTGTCAAGTCATCAGATTTCAGTGATTGGCGAATCCATACTTATAACTTCTGTTTTAATTTGTACTTTAATTCAACACCAAGAGAAATGCCCCTAATATTTTTTAGATGCCTCATTTATCTGAGTCAGAAACACGATCGCTGGATGTGAGAACAGACTTCTGAAATGATGCACCTGCTGGTTTTGATGCTGTTTGCTCAAATATTTGCATTTAGTTAAATCAGGAGTTGATAAATCCTCATTTCGTGAACATGTCTGTTCAGTACAAATGTGGAATGTTGCCGTCGCTATGGTAACTCTTCTCCCTATCCCAGCCTGGGCGGGACTGTGACCGGTGAAGGCCGTGGAACCGTATCTAGGAGTCACTGTGCCCTCTAACCCATTATCTCCCTCCCCTGTCCAAACGGAGGTGATGAGCGCTGCCCCATGCGGCTGCACGCTCTGAAGTGAGGAGAGTCCCAACCCTACCTCCCCACCTAGTGGACACTTATGTTGTGTATCGTCTGAAGTCTGTGTGCATTTCTTTTTGAGGTGTTTCTTTGCATAGCAAAGCTGTCCCCTCTGTTGAGGGTAACTCTAGCCCCATTCCCACCTGTACCGGGTCGGCCCGGGCCGGGTAGCCCCAGTCGGCCCCAGCCTGGCCCGGTTGATTCCACACATCCTTGCCTTAAGCCCATGTGGGCTGATTCTACCCACCAATCAGAGGCTTGCTCTAATGGAAGGTGTGAATTTGCTGTCAGCAGTGGGCGTGTTGGCCCTGGTCGGCCTGAAGCAGTACCCCTCGGGAAGAGGGCCGAGAATGAGCCTTGGTTGGCCCGGGAAAATTCCAGGCCACCCAGATATGTAAACAACCTATGCTACCCGGCCCGGGCCGACCCGGTACAGGTGGGAATGGGGCTTCTGAAGTGCCTTTTTTTCCCCTCCCCCTGACTCTATCCTCATATAAACCCTCTTGGTCTATTACGGTAGCGCGACTCGGGTTGCGAATGACCACAGTCACCAATTCTTGTCATGTGTCTATGTATGTATGTCTGATCTCAGAATTGTGTGTACTAAAACTCTAATTTCCCTCTGGGATTAATTAAGTATTTTTGAATTGAATGGAATTGAATTTATGATCTCAGATGGTCAGCTTTTTTACCTCAGGGTGGGTAATTTGGCAACCGATGCTTGTATTTGACATGGACTAGATAGTAGTAAACCGGTTATCTTTTTTAACTTAGACTTTGTCATCACTGAGTCATACCATTCCAAGATACAGGACCAGCTCAGCATGAAAATTAACAACAAAACTACACATTGTCTCTTTAAGGGCCGCATCAATTGTCACCCTCAAATTGGTGACTACATTCCTTAATCCTCTGTAACGCTGATCTGGGCCAAGGAGGCAAGGTCAGTCTCACCACCTGCTCCAGCTCTTTCACCAGGGCTGAGTATTAGGACCTCAGTTTTGGACTAATTTAGGAACAGTATATTAGATGCCATCCAGGACTTAACATCCATTTAACAATCCACTAGGGAAGACACAGAGCCACCTGCCCCCTGAGAGAGGAGATTTAAAAGTTGAGTTTAAATGATCAAATGGCTTACTCCCAATTTAGTGAACTTGGTTTGCTTTTCTGAACATATCACTTTATTTTATTGAAACTGTTGTCTACTCTTGTGGCTGCAATCAGTTGTTTGACAGTAATAATCTGTATACCTGAATCTAATTGTGTCCTAGTCCAGCTCTGAATGTGTTGTAGTCCTGAAATGTAAACTGGTGAGACAAAGCAATAAATATCTGAGGTAATAAAGTCCCCATTTTTTTATTTGGACTGCTAAAAAATGTAATAAACTGAATCCCATTTTCATTTGGCTTGCTATCCAGCTAAGTTTGTATTTAAAGTCTCTGTTATAAGTCCTGATTATGTTTAAGGACTCAAAAAATGTTCCTGGTTGTGATTTTTATTAATTTCCTTCACTTAATCCTATGTAACACTGATCTGTGTTTAATATGTGCACACACACACACACACACACACACACACACACACACACACACACACACACACACACACACACCTGTTCTCCTACAGGTGTGTGTGACTCACATCGAGCCGTGTGATTGTCAGGACCCGGCCTGCTGTGACTTACAGCTGGGCGACCTGTCAGAACTAACCAGGGACGGTAAACAAAAACGCTCCTGGCAGACATTTCTGATATACGTCGGTTTCCCACCTCCTGTCGCCGCCGCTCTGACATTAACTCAACCAAAATACTCCTCTCAGTGGTTGTAATCTCTGCAGCTCTCATTTTTCCTTTAAGTGTTAAATTTATTGGTCGTCTCTTCTAAGAATTTCTTCTGTGGAGACCTCGTGGCGGCTTAACATGTATGTTTTCTTCCCTTTCCAGGTTCTGTATGCAAAAGAGTGCCAAGCTGGTGCCAGGAGTGACGCTGGACCTCATTGAGAAGTGAGTTTCCCTCCAGAAATGAGCTCTCATGTCACTGGAATTTTGAACATGTTCAAAAAAACTGTAGCAGAAAAATAGTTGATGGTGTCTGGAACCCGTCTTATTTTGATTTGCACGCATCAGAAAGTGCAAAAAATTGCAAGACAACTTTGGAAAGCGGTTTGTGACCACGTACAAGCAAACTAAGACAGAAGTAGGCGATATGATGAAGCATTTGAACTAAGGGTGTTTGATAGCTACTTTTAACTGCTAACTAGGGATGGGTACCTTTGACATTTGAATCGATCCGGTACTAATTCCCGGTACCTAGGAATCGATACCGGTACTTAACGGTACCAATTTTCAATACTTTTGAATGTTTAATATTTTTAATTCTCTTTATAATTAAATATATATTTTCCTCAATACATAACCATATTTGATAAATATCACGATAAATAACATACAGCTGTTTGTATTTTAACAGCGTCCTTCTAGTTTTATAAGCTGATAATTAAACTGAAGCAAACATCTTTACTGTGAACTAAATTTACTGTGTATCTTCATTCCTTTTGCTGTCCTTTTTCATTAGATTTTTCCTACTGGGAAGTTAGAATTTCCGAGGAGAAAGTGAACGCACCATTAGCTGATAACAACGGTGGCAATGGAAGCTAACATATCAAGCTAACGTTATCTTAAACAGTTTATTTAACTGCTGGAGCAGATTAAAACGATGATGCCTCACACTTAAGATCGTTGTCGCTGGTTTCATCTTCACCCAATCACGTTAGTTAGTAAAGTGAAGCCAAACTTTAGAGCGCGTTCATGTTCTTCTAGTCGGAATTTCGGAGTTCCGAGGAGAAAGCGAACGCACCATTAGCGAAACGGAAGCTAACATATCAAGCTAACGTTATCTTAAACATTTTACCTATCGGAGCAGATTAAGATGATGATGTCTCACTTAGATCGTTGTCGCTGGTTTCATCATCACCCAGTTACCCATCACATTTAGTGAAGTGGACCCAAGCTTTAGCGTTCGTTCTTTCTACCATGCTGCTCTGTTTACAACTCGCTCGCATGGAACGATGACATAACGCTCTTGCGCATGCGCAGCTTTCTAGGCAAGTTCTCGTTGTGAAGGACGGGTACCGAAACGAGGCACCGTTTCAAACGACGTGAATCGGTGCTCAGTCGGTACTATGGAATTCGGTCGGTACCTTAAAAAGTACCGAATTCGGTACCCATCCCTACTGCTAACAAACTAGTGATTAATGCAGGAAAAACTAAATGCATGGTAGTTGGCTCCAAACATACTTTACAGACGATGCCAAAGTTACATTTAACTCTGGATAATAATGTAATGGAACAACTAGAAGAAGTAAAATCACTGGGAGTAATAGTTGTAAGTTATCATGGACAAGCCAGATTAATTATGTTTGACACAAAATGTTTTTTTTTTCCCAGATAATCATACTTACAATACACGACAGATAAATAGCAACCACACCCTGGGGCTACATGGTGGCGCAGTTGTTAGCACTGTTGCCTCGCCGCACGAAGGTCGCAGGTTCGGAACTCGGCTGCGGCCTTTCTGCGTGGAGTTACGTGTTCTCCCCATGCATGCGTGGGTTTACTCCGGTTTCCCCCACAGATGCCCTAGGTTATAAATTGTAAGTCGCTTTGGATAAAAGCGTCTGCCAAGTAAATAAACATAAACATAGTGCATCAATTGATGTCACATGGCCAAATAAATACCACATGCCCTTCCCCTTCCTGAAATAAACAACAAGATGAAAATGAACTTTTTTTGGTAATACCAGCTCAGTTTTACTTATCTAACTGATATGACATGTTAAAAATAACTGAAATGATCTCATATTGATGTAGATCTCCTTATATATTGCATCTCTATTAACAAATTAATAATAGTGATGGAATTGTAAACAAGATTCCACTAAAGAAATTTAAACATATCACTCATACCAACTTCATGACTAAACTGAAGCAAGGAATTTGATGTGATCATCACTGTTTGTTTGCAATTACATGTTAAGATGTAAAGCCTATTGCAGAAGTGTTTTACGCATCAATTCAGTCTGATTCCAGCTAAATGTTTGCATTGTTTCTCCTACTAGTGGCTAACTGTGATATGTAGGCTTCAAAGAAATCATTATCCAGTTTCCAGCCCTCTCAGTGTTGTTTTTCAGCCAGCAGATATAATTCTCTGCCCTTTTTTCCCCCTCACCGCCAAAGCAGCAGCCGTTTGGCAGATTTAGAGCTTCACATTTGCTAAAATAACCTGCGGGTTCTGAGCGGCGGAGCGTGGAATGTGTCTCGCTCTCAGGCACCAACCCTCAGATTGATATCAACTCTCAATACGGGTGTCATATCCAAAGTTTTAGTAGTTTCATTGAAGCGTGTACGTAGACCCCCCCTCCACCCCACACTTTGCTTGTGGGGGAGGATAAAATGACACTCATAAACTAAGTTAGTTGACTAGATTTTTGAAAGAGTGAGTTACTTTGCAGAGGAAAACAAGCCATCTTGGTGGAGAGCGCCTGGAGGAGGTGAAGTTGCAGAGTGTCTCTGCAGTCTCTTAATGATGTGTTATTTTGTCACACTGTGTTTGCTAAAGGTGAATAATAGTTTGTTTCCTCACGCTCAGACTGTGGCATCTGTCTGCCACCGACTACCAGGGACAGTTTGAGAGAGTATGAACACACACACACACACACACACGCACGCACGCACGCATGCACACACACGCACACACACGCACACACACGCATGCACAAAAACAACCATTTAAATAAACATCCAATGAAATTTGCTATTTTATAACTGTATTTATTTTAGTGGAGCTGATCCTTGTAATAATGTGGGTCAAACCAGTTATTTGTGCTAAAAACGTAAAAATGTGAGTCAATGTAATACATGTGACAGCCCCATCTAGTGGACAACCTTTGTTTCTGCGCATACCTGTAGTTACCGTCCATTTATCATTATCGAGGTGAAATCCTCAATATATCGTGATATTGATTTTAGGCCATATCGCCCAGCCCCACAGGGTATCCGCGGGTCCTTAAAAAGTCTTAAATTTGGCTCCCTTAAACCTGCAGATACCCTGGCCCCAAGACAGACATACCTGTTTATTCAAACCCTCACAGAATGTGTAGGTCAAACGTGTGTTTTTGAAATATAACATTAACGTTTAATTCATTGTCACTGTTCTTAGAAAAGATTAAAGCAAGTAGAGACACGTCGATTCTACTCTAGATGCTGATGCATTACTTTCATAGAAATTATAGAAATAATCAATAGAAAATAATCTCAAATCTGGGATTGTGGTCCTAATCCCATTTTGTATTGGTCAGTATAGAATCCTTACGCGACGCGGAATGGCAGCGGAATGTTTAACTCGCGAGCTTCAATGCAGTCCATTTCTCACCGGGAGTGTCTCGGCCGCAGAACGGCTTCCTCGCTTTGCTCTTCGCAGGACTCGCTAGATCACAAGATCCCTCGAGACTTCAAAGGTCACGGTTTGTTAATGCAATCCACCATTATACCCAAAAAAAGAAATCATGTTTGATATCGCTGTTTGATGTCTTAAAAGATGTTGTTCCTGTCCACTGCCAGGATTAAAGCCATGAAAAACACACTGCAGCACCTCTGGAACAATGCTGTGAGTAAATAAGCCGTTGGGTCACACGTAGGCTTCACGTAGGCTAGAAAATTACTGGCAGTTTTACACTGAAACCATGTGTGATTTCCTGTCTAGCCCAATGTTAACTGTGGAAATTGACATTTCCCAGAAGTGGCTTGTGGCTAAAATAGAACCAGATTCTACCTTTAGCAGGACGCACCTGAAAATTGCCGTGTTGTGGCTGGTTTGAAGCACTCCACAGACTATAATGGATTCTATTCAAAGCAGCAAAGTTCCGCTGCCATTCCGCACCGCTGACGCTTTCGGTGTGAAACGAGGGTTATGGTGACAGGCCGCCATGCTGTGACAGGACGCCAACTCCTTTCGTCACAAGATGGAAGCGGGCTCTAGGAGACCCAGCTACCAATGAAAACTAATTTTACTGCTTGATTTCAGACAAATACCTTTACTTCAGTGTTGTGCATTCACTGTTGTTATTGGTGACATTTAAGCATGCAAGTATGGTGGGACATGCCCAGCTATCAGCCATGAAAACCAGCCCCAAAAACTGGAGGCACATCTCAGCCATGACCACGACTTCTACATAGCAGCAATAGAAAACCCCATAATGGTTATTGCTAATGTGTTCCCCGGCCACCAGTTAGTTGAAGCAGATCAAAACGCTGCATAAAGTAGCTGTTTTTAGCTGATTTTCTAAACACTGTCTGGAACATTGTTTCTAACCATCATAAGCTCCTTTAATATCAGTAGCTGGTGTTTATGGATCTTGTTTTTAAACCCAGATTGGCAGCAGAGGTTAAGAAATACCGATCAGAGTTCAGTGAAGAGTGTTCACAAACAGTGGCTGGTTTTAAAACAGTGTTTATAAATTATTGTTCATATTTGACATGTTTTAATAACTAAACAAACTCTGTGATCTGTGTGTTTGAACTGTCTCCCTACACTGTGATCCTCCCTGGAACTCAAGAGTATTTATTAGAATTAACTTTAGTTACGCTAATGCTACTTCAAAATTAACAAACTCATTTAACCGACTTCACTGAGAAATCATTACAACACTGTTTAAAAAACCTTAACAACAACTTCCTCTGTATTTGCTGGATTCCACCGACACGTTCTTTAACTTGTGACTCGTGTCTTTGAATTAGGGATGCAACGATCCCCCTTTTTTCCAAACCGATACGATACCGATACTTGGATCTGACTACTCGTCGATTCCGATACGATACTTCTACCACACAAAAAAAATGCAATGATTTGGAATACAGATTTTATTTTCTTCTCTGCTTACAACAGAAAAGACTGTGAGGTAGATAAAAAGCAAAATATATGAATAAAAATCATCACAAAACTAAAA